GCCCCGCGGTTTCAGAGAAAAACCCCCCTGCCCCGCCCCCCTCGCTCTAACCAAGGGGGCAAAACGCCCGCCGGCAAACGGGTCAGCGCCGGGAGCCGGGGGCTCTCCCCGTGCCAAGGGCTGGGGATGGGCTGAGCCAGCACCGGGCAAGGACCCCACCATCCTCTGCCAAAAATTTGGGGCTGTTTAGAGGATTTTTGGCTTCTTGCACGCCGGAAGCTGCCCAACATGAGGCAGCAGCGGGGACAAAAGAGAGCCTTTGTAGAAACCTCAGGGCACCGGCAGTGTTTTGGGGTGCTCTCCTACCTTAAAGACCTTGCTGAAGGCACCATCGCCCAGCTCGCCCAGCACCAGCCAGGCCTCCTCGGGGTCGACGTCGCGCCTGACGCGCTCGCACCGCCTAGGCGGCCTGCTTCTTCTCCGAAAAGCCAAAAAGCCGTCGGAGAAAAGCCATGGGGCCACCTCCATGCAGAGAAAACCAGGGCAGCTGGGCTGGAGCTCCTCCACCAAGCGCCTTCGCAGCCTTCACAGCCCTCACTCTTCCTCCTCCGCGGGCAGGAAGGGGCTGAGCACAGCCCCGGACCACGCAGGATGTGCTGAAATGGAGATGCTGTGCTCCATGCCGGTTGCATCCTGCCTCTGAGGGCTTCTTGGGGTGGGAGAAGGGGTCGGTGCTCACCCAAAGGTGCTGCCTGCACCCCTTGCACCCCTGCCAAAGCCACATGTGGGGGCACATGGGGGTTCCCAGGCACCCCCCTGCAGATATAAGGTCCTTTGTGGATGCTCATAGACACCCCCACAAATCCCTACACAGCCCCAGTTGGGCTCAGCACCCACAGCCTCCATCCCTGGGCTGGGCTTAAATAGGTCCCGTTGGGTGCTGGGAGGCCCCAGGTGAGGTCATTAAGCCTGATTAGTGCCCCCACTAATTAACACTAATTAAACCCTCCTGGGCAGGCTGGGGTTCAGCTGTGCCACCACGCTGGCAAAGCGTTGGGGTCCCTCTCTGATGGGGGACACCTGGTGCCGGCCCCAGCACCCAGGGTGCTGCAGCAGCACCCACAAGCATCTGGCTGCTCCCCAAAATCAGGGTGGTTTTACCTCCGAAATCCTACCCCCCCGTGCCGGTGTGGGTGCAGCATCTCCCCGATGCTGGGGGGCTCGGTTCACGTGTGCTCCCCCCGAGGAGGCCGTTTTCCCGGTGATGACTTGGGTTAATCATGGGGTAATTAAATCCAGGGAGCTATTTTACGGCTTTATATTCATCATTTGTCGCGTCAGGCTTCGGAACAGAGCCGCCTTTCTGTACCAGCACCCGACGGGCTTCACCCACGGGAGGAGGGGGCTGGCGGGTCCTGCACCCCCAGAGCCCCCCAGACCCCCGTGAGATCACCAACACCAAAGGGACGCGGGTGCTGCCGAACCTGCACCCCACCGCAGCCCAGCTTCGGGTTTCGGCTCTCCTTTTCCTTCTCCTTTTCCTTCTCCATTTCCTCCTTCTCCTTTTCCTTCTTCATTTCCTTCTCCATTTCCTCCTTCTTCTTTTCGTTCTCCTTTTCGTTCTCCTTTTCCTTCTCCTTTTCCTTCTCCATTTCCTTCTCCATTTCCTCCTTCTTCTCCTTTTCCTTCTCCATTTCCTCCTTCTTCTCCTTTTCCGTCTTCCACTTCTGCTTTTCCTCCTTGTCCTTTTGCTTCTTCCGCTTCTTTTGCTCTTCCTCCTTTTCCTTCTCTTTCTCCATTTCCTCCTTCTTCTTCTCATCTTCCTTCTCCTTTTCCTTTACCTCCTTCTTCTCCCTCTCCTTCTCCTTTTCCTTCTGCTGCTGCCGCTTCTGCTTTTCCTCCTTCTCCTTTTCCTTCTCCTTTTCTATTTCTTCCTTCTTCTTCATTTTCCTTCTCCTTCTCCTTTTTCTTCTCCTTTTCCTTCTTCTTCTGCTTTTCCTTCTTCTCCTTTTCCTCCTCCTTCTCCTTCCCCTTTTCCTTCTCATTCCTTCTCCTCTTCCTTCTCCTTTTCCTTCTGCTTTCCCATTTCCTTTCCCATCTCCTTCTCCATCTCATTCCCCTTTTCTTCCTTCTTCTTTTCCTTTTTGTCCTTCTCCTCCTCCTCTCCCTCCTGTTCCTCCTCCTCTCCCTCCCCTGGCAGCAGCCGGCCCC